CCCCAAAACCCCAAAACCCCAAAACCCCAAAACCCCGAATAATTTTAAATCCATTGAAAATTTAAATGACGAGCAAGATCCATCTTGGATGAATAGCTCAGACTTTTCTGACAGAAGCTGAGGTAGAAACTAGGCGGCCAAAGAGTCATCAGAGGCAGGTAGCTAAGATATCCAAATCTAGCAACATCGAGACTGGAGAGAAAATTAGGATTGATTTTAATAAGATGCTCAATAAATAACTGGAAAGTAAGCTATTTATTTCAACCTGGAATCCTTCTCAATTTCTAGAATTCGTGTCTTACTCTGCTATACAGAACACTGTTGAGAAATTCATAGAGCACTTGCAGCCAATGAGTTACTATAAGCCCTTACCTCTGAAGGCAGGGCCTGAGTTTTTCAGGCTCTTCGTTGAGAATACTCAGTTTTTAAAATAATGCACAAATAAATATCCCTCAGACTATCGGGTTGTTCAACGACAAGTTTTACATGAGGACATCTGGTAGGTCTAACTCCCGAATTCCTTCTCTAAATTATGACTCTAGTTGAAGAAGATGGCAAGCAAGGCCATATTACAGTCACTAGTATATTTAAAGAGGAATCTATTTGCGAAGAACTAGCTTCTATTGCCAAGAATGTATACAAAAAGTAAGCCTAGCAGACAACTTGTAGGAAAATTTCAGAGGATATGCCAGCCATGATCTTTAAAAGAGAAGGGTATAACGAGATCTCTGACTGGACCAACTTCAAATGTAAGTTTGTTAGAAGTATTTTTAGATGATCTTAGTGGTAGAAAGCTTGATTTCAACTGCATCGCTCAGCAGTATCTCTATCCATTTGGAGGCAAAGCATGCTGAGTCAGGTTTATTTACTATAATCCAGCCTGAAACTTAGACAATAATCAAAGTTTCTCCATGAATGTTGCTAATAAATTGAAAATTGATGAGAAAGAGAAGAATAAAGAATATAGTCTTCAGAGTAGATGCACATTTGTAAAGGAAAATAGGAACTCCTATGATCTCTACATTACTAACAAAGGTGGTCCAAAGCAGAGGGAGTATGAAAGAATTGCAGAAATTATCATCCAAATGGTCATGAAAGTCTATAAGATCAGGATAACTAAGCTGGTCTTGGATTTCATCCAAGACCAGGAACGTGTTCATTATTTAGTGGCTATTCCTTCCTTTGAGGTTGATAAGTATATTAGATTCCTTCACCCTGACACCTCTTTGTTCACAAAGCCAAAGCTCACCTCAAAACAGATCTTTGAGGATAAGTCAGCACTGGTTTATTGCAAACTTTGTAAAGTGGCTTTTATGAAAAATGAAGTTAGTAAGATTGTTACTATGAAGATGATTTCTGAGCTCAGAGGTCATTATAATAAACGAGGAATTTTCAAGTTCGACCATTTCACTAAATTTAAGGACACAAAACGAACTTGAAAAGTTTGAGAACTTTGATACATGATAGTGATCGCTGAGCATGAATTGATGAAAATAGAGCACCAATTTGCGATATATCAGGGCATCCCAGTGCATGAGGAGAATAACCCGAAACATTCTAAAGCTCATCATAGGACAAATATGGTCCGGCCTGAGGACATTCAGGGAAAATTAAAGCAATGGCGGATCTTGTTTTATCTAGATTCCCTCAGAGATGTAAATATTCCGAAGTTAATGAAGCATAAGCAAGATGATGACTCTCTTTACATCCAGATTAAGCTATTTGATTATTTCACTAAGTTCAAAATGAATGTGAAGAACCCTCTTCAGGATCTTGAACAAGATAATTCAAGTTCTGTATCTGAGGAAAATTCCGATATTGTTAATAAAAAAGGCTTTAATTTACGCCTTAACAAACTTCGGGTGCACTACTTCTTCACTGAGTTTTACCAGATCAATAAGTTACTCGAAGAAACAAAGCTAGAGATCAGAATCACCTCTGGTGAGGACTGGTCCAAAGTCCTAGCAGTAGGAGCCATTGCTCCTTTCTATGACATGAACCCAGACAAGTATGAGATGGTTCAAACTGAATATCTACGGGTCCCTTTCTTATCACAGCATGTGCCAGAGTTTTACCTGACAATGAAATCAGGACTCAAATACGACAAGGATATCCTGGTCGGGAAGACCAATGAAGATACAAGTGAGAATTTACCAGGTAATGAAAACTCCAACCAGAAAGATGTTAAAGGTAACCATTAGCCTTAGTTTTAGAGGAAGAAAAATTGACTTTGTATCAGTTCAATGATGTGCTCTTTCCAGAGAACCATTACTATAATAGTGATTCACTCCCGATAGAGTGGATGGAGATCTTTGAGACCAAAGAGACACTAAAGGAACTGGAACAAGATTCAATGATTTCAAATATGTTTACCCAGAGTGTCGATAAAGATCAGATTGATAAAACAGAAGAACCTAGATCTTTCTTAAACAGGACAATCCTCAAGGCCAAATATCAAAGAAAGAAGGCAGCTGATATTGCAAAAGCAGCAGGTAGAAATTTTATAAAAGAGAATATTACTGCTTCGACAGTGATGAAGCCAACTTCCTCAGAGAAGGAAACCTCTAAGAAAAGGCCAGCCACTGCTTTCTCTAATGCCAAAAAATTTAGCAGGTTTTTCAGTTCAAGGAATAGACCTGATTTCTTATTTGAGACTTCAAATATGGGCTTTATGTCTCATAGAAATGATGTATCGAAAGATCCCTGGGAAGAGGTAAGTGTGTCAAATATAACTTCAGGTCAAACTAGGATTCAATTCTAGCTCAGATGCCCTGAGGATTACTGGAAGTCACAGACCTGTCAGTGCATTCGAGCAATTCAATAAGACTAACAAGACCAGGCTTCTTCTGAACCATAAAATTCCTGAGAAATTGCAACAGAAAATTTGTAAAAGGAAGAAAAGAAGGAGTAATTAGCTAATTGTTAATGAAATAGGAAGATTCAAGAAGAAGAGTAAGCCATTCTTATGGCAGTATTTGGAAGACCAAACTAAGACTATGGCAGGAAGTAAGAGCATTTAGTTTATTTTTAGGCTCTTTTATCAGACCAACTAGCGCTAGGAACATGTTCAGGAACAATCTGGCAAAGAAAAAGAGCCTTAAACAGCTATTCGACCTTGTTAGTGGCCAAAAAAAAGCCAGTAGAAGTAGAGTCGTCTCTGCAAGACCACACAAGTTCAACCAAGACATGGAAAGATCAAGCTCAAACGTTATGTAGCTGGTTTAAATGAACAATTCAATTCATTTTTGAGTATTTGGGGTTTTGGGGTTTTGGGGTTTTGGGG